AGCAACATCCAGGATACGAGAAGGAAAATCCCAAATATGGAAGAATAGGTCAACTAGTGTGAATCAAAATTCCTCATGTTCTCTCGCTAGATATATAAATTACACACATGGGAAGATATAAGGCTCTCTCTGATTGCTTTTCTGTCCAGCTTTATCCTCCCTTCCGGGCTAGTTCCCATACATGGACGTACCGTCGTCTCCGAAATCTATCGTCAGTGCTCGTGCTTAGCTTGTTGTTCGATGGAGGCTGCGAGGAGAATGTTCCAGAAGATTCGGGGACAGAGCCGAGTGGTTCGACGCGGCTACTTCACCATCTGCGTCGGTCCGCAGAGGCAGAGATTCGTCTTGAAGCTCGAGCACGCCAATCACCCACGCTTTAGGACTCTGCTTGACGATGCTGAGAATGAATATGGTTCGTGCTCCTCCGTACATCACGATGGCCCTATATGCCTTCCCTGCCACGTTGATGTGTTCTGCCGGACATTGGCTGAGATTCAGACCTCTGTTCCAGATAAACGCAGTTGGGCTCGCCCGCTTTTCAATATTCTCACAGCAGCTCTTAAGTTTAGGATCAACCATCACTCATAAATATCTGTATAGTTAGACATATCGCTTTTTTAAACTGTCTTCTGTATTGCCGTTCAACTATCCTTTAAAATAGTTCAATCTGTGGTTAAACTAAAGCTTGTTAGTTCATCAGTCTGATTCTGTACATTTTTCAATGTAAGTCTCATATTATATTTAACTTTTAAGGAATCATTATCTATATATATATATATATAGTTCAACTTTTTGGAGATAAATTAAACAATCAGTGAATTATATCGAATGAATTTTATCACTGGGCGGACCTGGAAAGGGAGGGAGGGGGCCATTTTCTAAAAAATAAACTATACTTTATATAAAACTACATATTGAAACTGGCTAGAGAGGTGTGGAGACTTAGAAGCTGTAACAGTATTGCATGAAAGTGGAATTGTTTAATAGAATGGAATGGCATGCACCAACAAAGCAAACACTGCATAAAAGCAGCAAAAGAATTATTTCTTTTCTTCTTTCTTTCGAGAGAGGCAATGTTTACCAACAAAACAAACAATGGAATTGACCCCTTGATCCCCTTTTATCTGCCAGTGCTCGTGTAAATTCTTTATATATAGTTAATGATGCATGTTGAATATTGATTTTTATCCACACGTATCATTTAACAATATCCTTTTTGCACTGAAATATTCGACTAATCGGAACTAGCCTTCCGGTAGATCTAATCCACAATGGTTGCATCCAAAACAATTTGAATGGGCTATATATGGTTGCATTGTGTGCCCTGTTTTAGTATATTAATTAATAGTGCATGAAAATATCACAAATTGTAGCTTAATAACTCTGCCTATGTGTCAAACTCATCTGAATCTTCTTCCAAATCTGCTGAGAAAATATGTTTTATAGGGGTCTACAACTTGACCTACTTCAAGCCCAGCCTACACTATTTACTTAATAAACTCAAGTCAAATTAGGTTTTTAATTAAGCCTGTTTAATTAAATACATCAGGCCTATTTTTTAAGGCCTAGCCTACGAGCCTAACAAGTCAGCCTATTTACACACACACATTTATTATGTAGTATATTACTAACACATCGATTTCACAATTTGATTTTTAATTAATCTATTTTTTTATTTTTAATTATATTTTCAATCATATTGGACTAACATATTAATTTTAATGTTAGTAAATACTTTTAATTATTATATATTGTAATTGATATATGTTATATATTATATAATATAATAGTCTCAAAGTATATTTGAAACATTGAAAACTAAAATATAAACCTATTTAAAAAGCTTACTTTTAATTAAGTTTTTAAATAAATTTTTAAGCCAAGTTAGGTTTTAAATAGATTCAAACCTAAATCATGAAAAAAGCCTTATTTAAGCTTTAAGCTAGGATCAAGCCTCACATAAGCTCAACCCTATTTGGTTAAAGTTTAACCCGACTTAGCCTATTTTCATCCCTATTTTAAATGATAAAAAATTGGGGGCAAAAATTTGTACTAACATTTTTTCAAATAAATAAATTTGCATGTTTTTATAAAGGATTCTGAGATTCCTGGAGGGGAAGCACCCGCTTTGCCTCCATTATCGGCCAATGATCCAATGTAATTTTACTTCATAGCAAGACCTATTATTATTATTATATATAGATTTTATTTGTATAGTATATAATTAATCATACTTTCTTGTATTGGCAAATATTGTATCGATAATTGATTAACATCTATAACATCTAAAATTTAAAATAATATGAATTCATAATTTTTACCCCTAAAAAATAAAGACAGACAGGACAGTTTTTGTTGGATAATATTAATTCTTTTTGATCTAAATATTGTTTTGGAAACAAGGTATTAATTAGCTCAATGATCTATCTATATATATATATATATATCTCCATGATCTTCTTTTTGCAATTGGCCTGATATATAATATATATCTATCAGCTGTTAACCTTTCCTCCTAAAAATAGGAAGTGCCGACACCATAACAGTTGCTTAAAATCATTCACAATTCAAAATCCAATAGCGTACTAGGACATGGTGATTAAAAAAAAAAAACTGATATATACATATATATAGAAGCCACCAACGGGAATCATATACTTGCTGGAATATACGAAAAAAAAAGGAGAAAATCTAGAGCACGTCTTGGAAAAGGGGCCCAAAAAGATATATACACAGTACATATCCTATTTCAATCTTCCAGACGGTGAGATAATTTAATAAATTAAAATTTATTATTTTCTACTGAGTCTTATATTTTATCCCAAACAATGCAAAATATACAGAATTATTAACTCATAGAAAAAAAAGTCATTTTTAAAAATATAAAATTTAAATAATATTGTCCAAGGCTCAATAGAAGATTAATGCGCAAATCCTATATATATATATATATATGTATGTATGTATGTATGTATGTATGTATATAAAACACACATGGAAGGCCCTCACGTTTCCATGTCCTCACCACTATCTCTTTGATATTATATTCAATGGAGACTCTGACAAGAAAGTTTCAGAAGATTTGGGGTGACTGTTGCTGCTTCCGGCAACACCACGTCGAGGATGAGCGCGGTGGCTACACCTTGTTACGTAATCACAACATGATAGTGCCAGAAAGACAGTCGACGAAGACGAAACAAAGCAGAGTGGCTCCACACGGTTGCTTTGCAGTTTGCGTCGGTCCGGAGAGGCAGAGATTCGCGATCAAGATTGGGCACGCCAATCACCCACGCTTCATGGCTCTGCTCGAAGATGCTGAGAATGAGTATGGCAAGTCGATCCATAATAATGGTGGCCCTATATGTCTTCCTTGCGACGTTGATGTGTTCTGCGAGGCATTGGCTGAGATAATGATTGCTGATTTTGATTCCTCTGTTTCCGATAGTTCTACGTCATCTTGTCGGTCTTGTAAACGGAGTTGGGAAAGCCGGCTTTTCAAGATTCCAAAGAGTTCTTAAGCTTAACCTCAAACGCGGCGCTTAGATGTCCTTGTAGATACGTTGGAGAAATCGATTTTCTTTTTCATATTTCATGAGTGACTGGCTAATGATTCTATACTTTGAAGGTTCGATTTCTTTATATTTTTGGCATTTTAGATTGACATTGACGATTCTTGGGTCTGCAAGGTGATTTTCTTTGTTTTTTCTTTTTTCTTTTTGAATATTAGTACACGGAAAACCACGTGATAGATGAATGAAAATCAGATCATATCAAATTTTATGAGGGATTTGTATTCTGAAGGTGTATGATTAAAAGTAATAAGATCTAAGTTTTCATTAATTCAGTCATTGATAGGAAGCCAAGTCTTTCTTAGTTGATTTTTTTTTAATTCCTTCTCCGAGTTCTCTCTGGCATAGAGTTCTAATTAAATGTTTAATTTTTCAATTTAATTTGTTACCAAGACAATTCTATATCTGCTTTTTTAAAGTTCGTACATATTGGTTTGATTCGTTACCTTTTTTTCCCCTTTCAAATTATTGCAGGATATTTTGGCAAAAAAAAAAAAAAGAAGTTTATATAGGATATACTGATTAGTTAGTGCATGTGTGTATCCTTCTTCAAATTTTTGAGTAATCATATATAATAGTTCAATTTTTAAAATTTAAGATAATCAAGCTAATTTATGTATTTATAAATAGTATAATTTATTAGACATTTTATTATACATATTGATAATGTTAATATAGATAATTGGTCTAAAAAGGATATTTTTCATGCAGAACTTAGCAAAGCTTTTCTTCACCAAAGAGAGGGGAAATCTAGCTACGTGCACCCCCACTTTAATATCGATGACATTGTTCAAACATTCTTCTGTATCTCAATTGTTCCAAATTTTCTTGCAATTAATTATATCGATAAAATAAGGTTTTTCCAAACAAAATTTGAACGTCGATAAACATAATTTTAAAATTTTTTAACTCACGCTTAATTATCAATTGAACTTCGATGTGACCAGAAATTAAAATCTAATAATTTTATTTATCTTACAAGGACTTATTTCTCTAAAATAGATTTTTTTTCCCGTTCGGATGGAAAGGTCTATTAAAAAATAAAAACATTGCTCCATGTGTCAATCTGACTATCTGAGTAAATGGACTGCGGACACTGGACATGACAATTTAGTGTATTTCTTAAACGAGATAAATGAATAAATATTCTGATATGTTTCAAATTAATTAATAAAAAACCTCAAATCAGAGAAAACGAAATGTTAATTTAATCAATATATTGCATAAAAATGAAATAAATGTCACTATTCTGTTCATTTTTTATTTCCTAGATATGATTTTTTAAAATTGAATAATTCTAGAGGATTTTAAATCGTCCGAGAGAGTTAAGATTAGTTTAATTTAACGTTTATTAAAAATGATGGACTAGGTCAGAAATACAAATTAAATACGGTAATTCCTTTTTTTTTTTTGGACTAAATACAAATATGGTAATTCAAGTGAAGTGAACACCACTTCTATATATTATACTTCATATTCCAAGTTTAACAATTAGATCCACGAGAACAGGATTATTCCCCAATAATTAACAACAGCACAATTATGAACAACAGAACATTAATTTATAGCAGACGCAAACATGGGCTTAACTAAACTAGCAGATGCCTTTCATTGGACGCACGTGTAACATTTATAATGAAAATCAATCAAGAATAACGGTTCGCAGATTTTCATAACTGCATCAGTGCTTCAAAGGTTTCCATGGCAGAAGCAGGCAAACCCAGAAGAACATTTACGTTCTTCCTCTCTTCCCCATGAGACAGGAACAAGATGACCTCTTTCTCAGGCAAGGTCACAGGCCCAGAACACAGAGGTTGTCCCCATCCAAAATCTGTGGTGTGGAAAGACAACCTAGTCCAAGTTGTGATCAGAAGCGTCGCTGCTAAGGAGGGCCTAGCTCTCGTCGTTTCAAAATAGTCTATAGCTGATCTCATGTACCGATCTGTAACCATATCAATGGCCTGCTGAACCAACCCAACAGTGAATGATAGAGGATTCGTCAATAACTCACCCGCCTCACACAGTGAATTTGTCAACACCATGGCGTTTCCGAAGTAGCCTTCTGGTATTGGAGGGACGAATCTGGACCGTCCATCAACAGCGAAGAGAAGCTTGGTTTGTTGATCAGGTTTCATCCTCAAGGCTTCAGTTCGAGATCTCCATACAAAAGCAGAAAGGGCTTCAAAAGTAGAGCACCTTTGAAGAACGCGATCTTCCATGGCCTTTTTCTTGAGGAGCTTCAGCTTCTCGGGATCGAAACAGAAGCACTTGTAGAGTATGTCTTGTTCCTCGTATAGTTTTGTGGTATCTGATACGTCTTCAATCTCTGCAAATTCATGGTGTGGAAACTCTATAATAGGAGGCTCGCGTGCTTTGAGTATGGTTCGGTCAAGAAATGGAGGGATCTTTAATTCCAAGCCTCTTGCAGTGTCGCTCCATGCGTTTACAAATTCCATAGCACACAGTCCATCTTTCATACAGTGGTTCATGCACAACCCCAAAGTAAATCCTCCACATTTGAATTTTGTCACCTACAACATATATATGTAAATCATTTTAGCTTCGGGCTACGTAAATCATTTTCCCCTGTATTGTTATTTTGAACTTGACATCTTTCATTCTAGCAGACATGCATTCAAGATATTAGTATTTTGGTATATTGATGTTTAAACTTTAAGGTGCGAGTGCTATCCAAGATATGTATCAAAATATCTTAATATAAAATTATCTTGATGAATGGTTCTCGTATACATGTTATATAATTTGTTTTTTGAACATCAACTTTTCATCCAAAAAAGATTATTTGAACACAACATAACGGTACTAGCATTTGAATCCTGGACCCAGTGGTCTAAAATCAATATCTCGCTAGGAAGACCATCCTCGTTGGGTATCGTCTAAAAATGATGAGTGTTTCCAAAATTACAACTTCTTTTTTTTTTTAACTCCGTCTACTTTTCATTAAATTACATTAATTAGCTTTTCTTCCGGTGCAAATTTTCAAATATTATAGTTCCAAATGTTGATGCCTTAAATATCATGGTATTTTTGTACCCGAAAAAATTATGGTATATATTTATTTAAACCTTAATATCTCATATCATAATACTATTTTACTTTAACTAACAATACATCTTTATGAATGACAAATAAATCAGCATCAATATATATATATATGAACATTTAGATGTAATCATATATACTACTATTTTTTGGTGAAATGATTGGGGGGAAAACCGTTGTAACTTGGTGGACATGAATCAATATTTACATGTTATACGTGGCAAGAGAGCAGTCTAAATACTGGGTTATGGTGACAGTGACACGGCATATAAAAAATTTCGTTCATTTATAAATATTTCTAAGTGAGATTAAAATGAATAAAGGTTTTATAAATTAAAGTTAGGAAAAAATATAAGTATGTAATTTTAATGTGATTTATGTTTATATACTTTTTTTAAAAGTCAGTTGGATAAATTAAAATTTATTTAAATAATTTGATTCAAAAATTACTTTAGACATATAATGAAAATAAAAAATTTTGTGATTCATTTAATATTTTTAGGAAAAAATAATAAAATTTAAATTGAATTTTTTAAAAATTTTTAAAGGTATAATTAAAAATATAAATTTTTTTTTGATAAATTTAAAATCGTATTTTTAGAAAGGTAAGATGAAATGATAAATTATAATGACTGAAAACATGATTATAATTAAATTAATTTTTTAGCAAGAGAAAAATAATTTTTCATCATCAAAAATCTATTTATTAACATAAAAAATCAAGAAAAACATATTTAAAAAAATTCTTACCTAGTCTTATCCTAAAACAAAATCTTATCCCATAGATATATGTTAAAATAATATTTGAAATTTTGTCCAAAAAAATCATATTTGCAAAAACAGCCCAAAAAAAGTATATTTACAATTAAAATCAGGATTTAGGGTTTAGGCTTTCGTAAATATGACCCATGCACGTTATAGGACTAAATCAAAAAATAGCTTAACATTTACTATATTTTATATTATAGCTGGTTTATTATATTTATTAATGATATATCATTATATGTCAATGATAAATCTCTTATAAATTTTTAAAAATTTAATTTATATTTTTTAAATGCAAGATTTGGGGCCAGTGGTCAATTTCTATATCCTTAAAATAATCATGCTTGGCCCCTCGGTAAATAAACAGAAAGTTAGATGTTTGACAAGCAAAGCAACAACCAAAGAATAACCATTAATCTTTTGCCGGAAGAAAGAATAACCACTAATGGACGACAGCAACGAGAGGACGAATGAAGAGAGGAGAGTGAGGGAGAGACCAGAACCAAAGAAGGCCACAGAACGGAGAGATGCAGCGATTGTTTGGTTCTGTGGATGAAAGAGAACCAGCAAGCTCAACGAACAAAAGAACTCTGGCAATGAAAAAGAAAAGACGATGGAACCCACGGACGGTGACGGAGCGATTTCAGAGACACCACGACTTGCTTGCATGCACCAGAACAGAAGTGAAGAGAGGAGAGGTCTAGCGGCTTCGAGTTAACTGCTTCAAACCTAACCTAGCTTGCTTTTTGGTCAAAAGCTTTTTCTAAAATTTTGTTATCTAAACAAAATGTTTAGATTCCGAATTAGCTTTTTAGTCTGCCCAGATCAGTTTAGGAGTTATGGAAACATTATATTGCCATACTAGCTCGTTATGAAGAGCATACGAATATATAAATGTATGTATTTGATTAACTGAGAGAGTCAAAGTAAAACCTGGACGGTGATAAGAGGCATCTCAAGTACGTTCCTGGCACCAGGGACGCTATAAGCAAGCTTGCCAAGAGTGGAAGGATCAGGCTTTGTCAAATCTCCTATTTGTTCTATCTCGCAATTTGCTTCAGCCTCAACGAACACTGCACCCTCACCAGTACAGTCCACTATCAACTTGTCTTCTGAACTGATCGTTAACCTGCCGGCCATGGGGTGATAAGGAACAAGAATCTTGGACAAGGCTTCTCTGATCACTGTTGCAGCTTCCTCGTTCCCTCGACAAGCAGATTTGAAACAATACACTGTACGAACTGGAACTGCTATGTTCTGGTCAAGGTTTGAGAGGAAGTACAGACCCTTGTCTGTTTCTTCTGCGGGTGGAACCAGAGTTGGTTCTCCTAGTTGCCTCACATCAAGTTCAAAATTTGAATCTATTGCGCTTGCCATTATAATTAAGCCTTAACCTTGGTGGATCCCAAGAGTAAATGAGAGCAGAGACCTATAAACTGGTTATGGCTACTGTGTGAATCTGTAATGATGAAGAAACTACTATTTGGTGGTGGCACGCTAAGGAATAAGGAAGTTATCTTTATAAAGATAGTGGCTAGAGAGGAGAGGAGAGGAGGGAGAATTAATCATGGCTTTGGATCGCCAAAAGAAGTAAAAATGCAGACTAACAAGAAAAGGAAATAAAAGCAGAAAAGAAAAACGTACCGAAAATCTTTGGCTTCATATTTTGGTTAACAAATGTCGCAACAATTATGATGAAGTTAAAGGGACAGATTCGGATGGTCAATTCGGTAGCATTTATACGCAAGAGAGCATTCACACGGATTGTTTGTAGTAGCCACACAATTCATGGTCTATTTAAAATCAAGCCAAAAAGCAAGTTATTAAACTCATAAGTTTAAATAAATTTATGATAATAATATAAATTTGTATAGCAAACTTGTAAGAGTTCATCTCTATTAACAAATAACTATTAAAATATGATTGTAATTTAATTTAAATATATTAAAAATATAGATTATTGAAATTAAACTCATATATATTACTAAATTATCATATACAAGGCATAAAAAATTTTAAAATAGGGAAACTTATTTTTGGTATACTTATTTTCTTTTTAATTAATATTAGTTTTTGCATTTTATTTTTTTTTGAACTAGGTTTTATAACTTTTATGAATTGAATTTTTCATAGTATATAATTAACTCGCTCAGCTCTAAAAAAAAATGACGAGCTTAACGAGTTTAACCAAACTTGCCTCTAGTCTAAATTTTGAATTAGTTGACATGATTTTATAAATTAAAAATATAAAAACGGTAAACTTGCAAGTTTAACTAAGTTTGTATTTAGTTTGAGTTTATGAATGAGTTGATACGATTTTGTAAGCTAAAAATGTAAAAGCATTAAACTCGTAGAGTCAACTCGAAAGTTTGACAACTATACTGTAAAATACAATATAATCTCAATTTTATTTAAATAGATAATAACTTTTTTTTCTGGCCAAACCAAAGTCCATTTTATTAATTATCATGGAAAAAATATTACACACACTAGTAGACAAAGCCAAAAAAACTCTCACAAATACCTACATACAATCTAACACACAAAAAAATAAACCAAGGTCTAAACAAAAATAAACACAATTACAGAAACAATTAACCAACATTAGTCCTATCAAAATAAAAACAACAGCATTACTATCACTATCCAACAATATCGTATCCGAAGCCAACAAAAGAGCCGAAGAGGATGGTGGCACCATCATCCAATCAACATGGTTCATCCCTTTTTTAGCCAAATCCGCAGGTTTTACCTTGGCGTGCTACCAAGGAAATTCATGTTTATGACTAATGCACACAAATCAATGATAATGTTTATGAAGTCTTGTTTTAACTGAGTTATGAAACTTTCATTTGATGAAAAGTTACAAACCCTAATTAGCATAGGAAAAATATAAAATATAAAAGGGTGGGCCCTTGACCTTATAGGGCTAGCCCTTTTGTGGCTGTCTCTTTAGTTTTTGTCTATTCTTCAAACTTTACCTTCAATTTAGAGATGAATTAATTCAGAGCTCAACCAACAGCTTTAATGGTGCAATGATGTTCCTATTGCTTAAAATTATCTGCACTTTCTGATCAAAATGTTAAAGAAATCACCGTGTATTTTTCTGAGCAAATTAACTCCCCTGGATTGGTTGAGACTTGGATTAGATATAAAATTTGACATGAAGAAGGCAATATATACATATACTCCCTCATCTCTATATATAAGATATGTTTTAAAATTTTTTGTTGTTCATAAATATAAAAAGTGTGATGATATTTTTAAGTAATTAGACAATTTTATTTTTGTCTTGAAAAAGGAAAAGGAATATTAATTGAGTGCTTTGTCCATCACCACCATAATATTAATATTATTTGTGTGTGTGTGTGTTGTATACACTCCCTCATCTCTATGTATAAGATATGTTTTAAAAGTTTTTGTTGTCCATAAATATAAAAAGTGTGATGATATTTTTAAGTAATTAGACAATTTTATTGTTGTCTTGAAAAAGGAAAAGGAATATTAATTGAGTGCTTTGTCCTCCACCACCATAATATTAATATTGTTTGTGTGTGTGTGTGTGTTGTGGTGCTTTACTTAACCTGCAGGAGAACATAAAATCAACCTAAAACAAATATTCAAATGTTATACGAAGGACTATTCAAATGCTATTATGGTAATGAAGTGCGTTAAGAGAATTAAATTTCCAAGTGGTTGTTCAGGCATCATCATCACAAAATTTCAGGAGTAGGGTTAACTTCATGAATGGACATTATTAGTTTGTTCAGACGTCATTATTAGTTTGTTTATATTTACACGAAATTGATGGGAATTGCATGTAACATGCGAGGAATTAATCAAAACAATTTTATTCGAATAAGTCCAGCATCATAATTGTTAAGTTCAGCTTCATTATTAGTTTGTTTAATAATAGTTTACTTCATCAAAAATAATTTAAACTATTTAGTTAGATATATTTTAAACTTTATATATTCATGAAACTATTTTTAAATTTTTAGATGTAAAAAATATTTTATTTATAATATTTCCTATACTATTTTTTACAGTTTTGCTTTTGATAGAATTTATATACTGTCATACGATACATGTAAACACTTCTATTAATAAAGATTCGAGTATTGATTTGTAATATTACGAGAGATTAATATCTTTTTTTAGACCCAATCTCATTGGTTATACATAGCCAAGTTGAGAATTAATAAAAATTCCACAAACCTAACTTAAAAAAATCGTGCAAATACTGTATTGATATGTGATATATATATATATATATATATATAATTTTGTTTTAAATTTCGTGACTTATCAGATTGTCTTAAGTACAATATGGGACACCTTGACAAGAATTTGAATTATTTAAAATAAAATATGGGATCCGTGTTTCGATCAAAGGCAATATAAAAATAACTTTACTTTGAAAGTTAAAATGTTAATTTCTAGTTAGAATTTATAAACCAAATACGCATATAAAATTTTTGTACATAGAAGTTCAAAATCAATTAAACAACCCTACATTTATTATATTTTTCATTGTGTTCGGTTTATTATATTTGTTAATAATATATTATTATATATTAATAATAAATCTTTTATAAATTTTTAAAATTTTAATGATAAATCTTTTATATATTACCGTAAATCGGCCATACTCTCAAATTTTCAAAAATTGGGTATGTATTTTTCGGATATACTCCCTTTTATCCTTATTATATGATACTTTCAGCTATTCCATACATTTTAAAAAAAAGTTAATTTTTTCTCTTCATGTCATAAAAAAGTGAGATATACTTTCATATTTGTCCTTGCCTTTAAATAATAATACCTATATTAAATGCTTTCACTCTAATAAACAAGGGATAAAATTAAAAAAATGATCTAATTATTATAAAGTGTCCTATATTTTGAATTAAAAATTATTTCTACAAGTTGTCTTACAAATAAGACAAAAGGGAGTAAGATTTATTTTTTTTTATTTTCAAATATCTATTATTTGCTTAAATTGAGCAAACAATGTGACTCACCTTGAAAAGAATTTAAATTATTTAAAATAAAATGTGATATTTTTTGAAATGTTTTTCTGATATTTTTTGTGTGGCCAGCCTATGCAATCATGTTATTTAATGATTTTATTCATATTTTAAAGATTTTTTCTCAGTTTTATTTATCGTAACCACGAAGATTATTATTATTATTATTATTATATATTTGGGACCCATGTTTGATACTTTTATTTTTTCATCGATGAAGAGGAAGCTTGACTTTTTATGTTTTAATCGCATATCTTCTAGTGTAAACCTCATCAATTGTCGTTGAAAAATTACAGTGAATAAATATCTAAAACAATTCACTTTTGGCAGGGAAAATTGTGAGGTCTATTAATAATATTTCAGATTTTTTTTTTCTTAACTCTGCATGTGCACCTCAAATGAACACAGCGTATTTTATGAACTGGGTTTAATAGGCAGGGACATGAATATTTGTAAGGATTGCTATGCTTATACTGGTTATTTGTTTCCTTTATTTTTTTTTAATCTTTTGTTTTTGAGTTATTATTGGGCTGCATGGTATCTATTTTTTTATGTGAAACACTTTGGTTTTTTAAAAATTTATACAAATATGGTTATTTGATTATGTAAGATATAAATTCTAAACCAAAACACAGGGCTTGTTTATTTAAAATTTAAAAATAAGTTATTTTCAAATAATTTAACAATTTTATAAAAATAATTTATTTTGCAAAGATTTTTGAAAAAATTAGAATTTTTGTTGGCACTTCGTTCAAATCATAAAAAAATAATTCTTGCTTTTTTTTTTTTTTATCAAAACAATGCAAAATCGCTTGTTTCTGTTAAATTACAACAACAGGCATGAAAAAGGATCACTTGGTTTTGGTCTCACAATGGTAACATTTACCATCAGACTATCAGGAGAAGAATGACGTAATTGAAACCAAATCTTTTACATTTTCATGTAAAAGATTCCCACACTTCATTCATTAGCCAAAATCACTTTTACATCAAAAAGGAATTTAGTTTACTCCTCATTCTGTGTCTCCTATCAATCAAGTTACTTTCTCCCTCTTCCAATCAATGGAATGGTATGTATTATTATATAATAAAATTGAATAAAATTTCAAATCACTAGAGGGATTGCCGAAAGCAAACAAAGTAGTCAAGTAGGCATCAAAACAATGATCGAAGCAGTGTTAAGGGAGAGAAGGTCATTGGCGGTTGGAGCGAAGGAAGACGCCGCGAAGGAAAAGAAAGGAAAACTTGAGGCACTAAAAGAGGGTTACTTTTGTCTTTTAAAATGATTAGCGTAAAAATCACGGCATTTCAATTCTTTTTTCTCTCACCTGACTTATTTTAAAAAACTATGCAGATTCGCTTCTTCAAGTAAACAGATATCTTATTAAATTTTAGATTTTAATTATTTTTAAAATCTTAAACAAACGTCTTAAACTTTGCCATGATAAAAAAAAGCTAAAACAAATGGATTCATATATTTTGAATTTATGATTTGCATGAATATAATAATTATTTTTATCTATATTTTGAATATAAAAAAGATAATAAAATTTAAAATAAATTAATTTTTTCACCGAAAATCAAGTTGTCGTTCATTTATATCTTCTAATCATTAATATTAATTATCTC